TGATGTGAGCTCCTGACCTGCTCTTGAACTCTGGGGCTGGAGGTGACTCAGGGGAATGAGCAGCACTGTCAGTGTCCAGGGCTTTGCTGTGGCACACCAGGACATGGTCCCAGGGAGGGAACATCTGGCTGAGCACAGATATAAATTCAGTGTAGGAGAAAAAGGTGGAAATTCTGACTAAAGAGCCATTTCTGCTCTTGGGGATAATCTGTTGAAGATCTGTTAAGTTCTAGTTTTGTTCCCTCCATTTTTCTGTATCTTGGCTAAAAAGCAGAGCACTAAAAAACACTGGTTTTAAATATAACCTTTATATATTTTTATCCCCTTTATCTACGAGGTGCCTTTATGTGGGGTGAGGCAATTTGATTTTCTCCCTTCTGGAAATGATGATAAAACTGATAGCATCCCCTTTCCAGGGGAGTCAGTGGAGAGCAAAGAATTCAGATGGACTGAGATATTCCAGGAGCTGGCAGAGTTGCAGTGTTGCTGCTGGGAAAGCAGACTCTGTTTGATCTCTATTTGATCTTGGCTCCTCTGAGACCTGACAGATTTGTAAGTCATAGCCTTTAGCTGCTGCTTTGATTGTGAGGGCAAAGTGCTGGAATGAGGTTTTGTTCTCAAAACAGAGAGAAAGGAGCAAGAATGAAAAAGTGTGTGTAAGGAGGCAGGGGAAAAACCAAGGCCAAGTGTAATTCCAGCCAGCAGGAAGGATATAACTGGAAACTTAAGCTATTAGCAAAGCTGAAAAATGAAAAATAAAATAAAAAAAAAGAGAACATTTGCTTGGGCCATGTTGCAAGGCCAAGTGTAATTCCAGCCAGCAGGAAGGATATAACTGGAAACTTGAGCTATTAGCAAAGCTGAAAAATGAAAAAGAATAATAAAAAAAAAGGGAACATTCGCTTGGGCCATGTTATTGTGAGGTGATGGGCCTTCTCCTTTCAGGCTCTGTTAAAATTGGGCCGTTTTGATCCAAAATCACCAGAACACAAATCTTGAGGTGGGGGGGAGCTGTGGGGTTTGCCTGGAGCTATAGGGGGGAATCTTCCAGCTCACCAGTGAGGCTTGGAGCCTCCATGTGGGAAGCCCCATGGAGATGGATGGATTGCTGTGCAAACATGAGCCCTGTCTTGGAAAAGGGATGGGCAAATCTGTCCCTTCATGGCATGTAGAATATGGCACTCAGGGTTCCCCTACTGCTTTTGTTTGGCATTTGGACTTCTAAAAATCCCTCAGCCCCACTGTGGACATAGTCACTAGCACTGGAATTATTCTGGAAAAATCTCTTGCTGCTGTTTGTTTCCCCTATTCCTCCACAGGGTTTTTGTCAGTTCATCTTCACTTGCTCTCTGTTTCCTCCAAAGGGAATTATTTGAACTCGGCACCTTGAGACAGTTAAATGTAGAAAACCAAGTGTTGTGTAGCAGCTGAATTCACCCAGCCTGTGCTTCCTCACCAACATTCCTACTGGACGAGGAGTGGGATTTTCTGTGGCCAGCCTGGATTGGCTTGGTAGGCTCAGGCTATGGATGTTAGTGAGGTTTTTCCAACATTTGTACCTGTTAGAAACTAATTCAGAGTGTTTTGGTTGTTGGGTTGTTTGGTTTTTTGTTTGGTTGCCTTTTTTTCCCTGTTTAATGGATAATGTTTTGGTTGTTGGGTTGTTTTTTTGTTTGTTTGTTTGTTTTTTCCCTGTTCAATGGATAACTTTCATTACACTTTTAAGAACCTAAAAAATAGGAACAAACTGCTCGAGTAAAGAAGCCCAAAATGCTGGAAGTGCCTGAAGGAAGATTTCCCTTCCTTGACTACTCAGGTGAAACCACAATCCTGGGATTTATGGTTGGATTTGATGATCTTAAAAGTGTTTTAAAACTAAAACGATTCTACAATTCCACTCACTCAAAAGCTTAGTGGATTCTGAGAAAAAGCTTTGAAAATACCTAGTATGGTGGATCTTGGCAGCCTCGGAGTGGAGGTGAAGAAACAGAAGCAGAGTTTGGTGCCAGGTTCTTGTTTTTTCTTGCCCTGTTTCCTGCCTGGAAGGTGGACATGGTGTTGTCCAGCCTGAAACTCTGAATTTATCTGCTAGAACTTGTGAAGCTGCTGTAATTCTTGTGGGAGTTGGGGCTTTTCTCATGACTTGTTGCTACACCAGGACAATTACGTGACAGCATCAAGGAGTTTTGAGGAGGGAATCCTGCTGACAGGAAAAACAGTCTGAAAATTGGAATGCAAAAAGCAGTAAAAAGGGGCAACTCACTTTTTGGTTGCAAAAAACTCCACAGATTTGTGCAATCAGTCTCCAGACTCTTTTGGGACTTGAAGTGTGGTTCTATATTTCCTCAAGCAGTCAAAATCCTTCATGATTTTGCCTGTGTCTGCATTCCACTTGCAGTAATGTTTTATTAGGAGTCTTAATTTCCACTGTTTTGTGTAGTTCCTAAAATACTGTTACTTGTCACTTCTTTATTTCTTGACTTGGAAGTGGCCAATTGCTTTGAGACCAGCACTTAAAATACCTGTAAAGTGTCTGAATTGGAGTAACTTGGTGCTGAGCAGGCTGTGAAAGCACACAAGTTGAAACATTTCTCATAACATTCTTGGCTTTTTCCAAAAATGATTACACAATTCCAGGAAATTAAATGTAGCGTTTCTTCACTGAAAATAACTGGGTATAAATAATGGAAAACAAAGGGGAGGGGGAGTAGATGGGAAAGAAAAGTTGAGAGGGGAAAGGAGCACACAGAGAAAAGAAGATTATGTCCTACCCTGGAATTTCAGAGGACACACTGACCCTGGTCAGTATTATTAATATATCTAAGCCCTGAGCTCTGTAGGCGTAGGGCACGACCTGACTCAGTAATTCAGGAAGTCTTTGTGTTTCCCTCTGTGTTTTATCCATCAGACCTTAAAACTTTCAGCTTGGGTTCTCAGCAAAGCTTCCAGGTGATGCAGAAGCTTGTCTGACACGAGGATGAGCGTGGGGCCACGTCCCTGCCTGGGTGCTGGTGGCCAGTGCTGCACAGAGTGGCCGGAGCTGCAGTCAGGACTGTCACATTCACACTCTGTCCTCTGCTGTATTCCAGCTGCAGCAGAGATTTGTGGAAATGAGTGAAATCTTGTGTAGGAAAGCTACTGCTTTCTGATCTTTGAAATGGTGATAGCTGTTAATATGAGTGTGAACTGATTATTGATATATTAAGCTTAAAACTTAAGGTGTAAGGGTCTCCTGTTTATTTCTTTATTTCACTTCATTCTTTATTTCTTTATATCCTAGGAACACCTTTATTTATTTTCTATCCTAGGAGCACCTGAGACCTGCCAGGGATTTGAGATCCCTTTTTTAGGTGTCAAACAGGCACAGAGGAGAAACTTCTGAGAGCACAGCTCAGTGTCCTGGCAGGTCACAGAGTGTTAGTGACTTAATCCAAACTGTATTTTGGTGCTGTTTGTGCTTGCAACTGTGTGCCACTGTAGTGGTTATTACAAAACACTATAAATAATCTGGGAAATTCAGAATCTGGCTATTACTGATTATCAAGTGTGTTTACATCGCTTCTCAGTTGTTACAATGCCTAGACTTTGTCTTCAAGTTTTGTTGAAAGCTTTATTACAGAAAAGAAGTAGTGGGAAAGGTTGTATTGCCTAATTATAGAATGGTTTGGTGGGAAGGGACCTCAAAGATGATCCAGTTCCACCCCTCTGCCATTGGAAAGGACATTTTCCACTAGAGCAGGTGCTAGAACTTCCAGCATATTGTAAAAGCATTGTGTGGTTTTAAATGCATGAGGTTTGCAAGAAACAATTCTTCCATTACGTGTTTTCAATAATTCTGTGTCAAATACTCTTGCTAACCCTTAGTAGGCTTTTAGTATGCACATAGATGTTTTTAATACCTCCAGCATTCAGAAGGATTTTTAATGATTTGTTCAATAATTGATGGAGCTTTGGCATAATTTAGGCTTTTGTGAGGGATGGCAGGCAGATGAGTAGAATATATTTAGTTGTTTAGTTTAACCATCCCTATCTGTGAATTCTTTAGGTGAAAAGCAGAACAAAGGAAAGGAGCAAGTGAGAGAACCTCTTGGAGAAAATTATCCCCTTAAAACTGATTATCCCTGAAAATTGGAGGAAGCCTTAATTAACTTATTAATTCATTGCTTAAGTGTCTGCAAAGTGTTTTCTGAGCAGTAACAGTCATTACCTTCCATAACTGTGTGTGGTTATATGGACCTTTATATTTACATCTATTTCCCTGTTAGCCAATAGATTTTGTCAGCTTTTTTTCCCTCAGTCTTTGTGAGATAAAGCAGAAAACAGGAGCTGTCCTCTTGTCTTCCTTTAAATACTGAAATCCTTCTTAATCTTTGATGCTAAATCCATATCTGTAGACACCAGTCTACATTGACAGGTAGTAAGAAGTACCCTTTAATGAGGAAAACCACACTGAAAGTGTTTGGATTTTGTCACCAGTTATATAAAATTGCTGGGCTCTTTCTGATATAACCAGAAATTTTCTTAACCTGAAGTCCTGGCTCTTAACTGGAAATCAGTTCTATTGTTCACTTACTTCAAAAACAAGCCAAAGCTCCCAAAACTCCTAGTCTTTGCTAGGGTACAAGTTGTTGCAAGGGTTAGGAATTTAATGTAATTTCAGAGAAAAAAGGTATTTGGAAAAAAGACGGTATTTTTTACATAGAAAATGCCATATAAAATGGCATTTACATTAAAAATTTACATTTTTTAATGTAAAAAATGTGTATAAAAATGTAAAAAAAGTATCGGGTACTTCTGAACTAGAAACAAACAAGTGCAGCTTGGGTTTTCCATTAAAAACAAACAAAAGAAATCCTATTGTATGTGCTTACCCAACCTTGTAATAACACGTTACGATACACTGCTTTTCCTGATCACAGCAAAGGTGTTTATGTAGAAAAATGATTTGATTACAATATTTTTGTGTGTAATAGACATCTTGGTTTTTTTTTATCCACCAGGCAATCAGCTCAAAAGGCCACCACAGCATCTCTTACACATTATCCAGAAGCCAGACAGTTGTAGTGGAATATATTCATGACCGAGATACAGACATGTTTCAGGTAAGGCTCTAAAATACTTGGATTGTTTTTTAAAAGCAACATAAGAAACCCCAGTTCTGCCTTATCCTCTGGGTATTCTCTGTGACCTGTGGGATTTCCACAGTCTGACCCAGCTGCATTCATATGGGAGCACTTTGAAATTTGGCATTATTCTGCTCTTTGCAAACCCACAGCAGCATCTGTTAATCTTCTTACTGACTTCCTCCTTTAATTGTACTCTGCCTTTTCTCCAAAGACAAACAGTACTGGAGAGAAATGTGTGCTCTGTTTGGATTCAAGAGTGAGCACAGAATTACACCCACCACCCTCCAGTTAATCATGTAGCTGGAGTAAAAACGAAGTGGAAGGAGTAGGACATGGGATGGGGAAGGAGGAAAGTAAAAGGAGCTGGGCAGTAGGGGAGACAAACCAGTGATAAATGATACTTATAATTTCAACTCATTATGATGAGTTCCTGAGGGCTGTGCACATCCCTCAGGTGGTGTGGGCTGAGTTTCTCTAAGCTCCCATCTATTGTCCCCTGTCTGCATTTCTGTTTTTCTGCATCATTTAACAGTCTGGTAACCTAATTGATTTTCTGTGCCATGGTTATTTTTATGTATAATAAGAGAGCAGAAATCCTTAGACTTCAAACTTGGGGAACCCAAACATGCCAAAGAAACAACCTTTCTCATTTTAGACTGGTCAGGTCTGTGTTACCTAGAGCATCTCACCAGGAATTGTTATCCCTCCTCATTCAGCCTTTCATATTTAGAAGGGTCAGCAGCTGAGTGCTGTTGACAGAGAGGAAATAACTCTTTGCAGGTGTTGTTGCTTCTCTTGACTTCTGTGTTTTGCTCTATATTAAATTTCCCAGTGTGACTGAAACTATTAGGTCCAAATAGGAATTGATTAAAACCCAGTCTTATTCATTTGCTGCAGAATGAAGGATTGAACAGCCAGGGCGAACTGAAATAGGTTTTTCTGTGTTGACTAGTGAAAGAAAAATGTAACCTATCCATTGGGGTTACTGTTCAGCTCTTGAGTAGCTACAGTAAAATTTTTTCCTGTATATAAATTTTGAAAAGCCATTTTTGAAAGCTGGATTTTTCCTCTTTTTGGGTAGAGTAAGAAATGAATAAAGAGTTGCAGAACAGCTTCTTTTTCTGGGAATACTGTGTAGACATCTATTGCATAATGTCCTAGTGGTGGGTACAGCTTTTTTGGGGGAATAAGACACCATTTCAGTCTTGGGGTGTGTGGGAGGTCCTGCTGTGGCTTGATCTCAGTGTGACCTCGAGTGCAGTGTCCTGGTTCAGGTTTCTGCTCTCTGGCTCTTTCCTGAGGATTGCATTCCATGCATTGCCTGCAGGGGCTGATGCAGGAGTGGTCTGAGGACTGTGGCAGTAATTCCCCCTGAAGTAGCACCAGAGCAGCTGAAGAGGTTTCCATTATTTATATGAGCCAATAGATTTTAACTGTTCTCATGAATCTGTTGGAGAAAAGTTCCTTGAGGATGTTTAGTGCAGCCCTGTGGTACGTGATGACAAAATTCATGTCTGTTGATCCACAGAGTAGAGTTTCATTGTTGGCCAGGCATCACTTGGACAGACAATCCTTGGAGTTGGATGTTTTCTTTTAAAATGTGTGTTCTTGGCTTGTGTGGGATGTGGAAGTTGAAAAGGGAAGGATAATTCCTGGACCACAGGATTATCCTGAGCCTTCAGGCCCCACTTTGACTGCTGTTAACATGTATTTTCCTGGGCAAATCACTCGGCTTTCTGTGCTTGATTCCCACTGTGCTTCTTGAGCTGGTGTTCTGCTGTGTTGTTTGTAGTTTTGGTTTTGGGGTTTTTAAGTGGAACTATATTATGAAATCTGTGGGCAAATGCTGCTTTGTCTGTGTGACATCCAGGTCAGATTTCTTCATTTAATTACAGAAAAGAATGCACAAGTGTGTTCCTCTGGTATCTCCCAGGCTCTATATGCTGCAGCATCCATGTGCCGCTGTAAATGAAGATTTTCCTCAGAGTTTAACCATTCTGTTGATGATGCATTAGGTGAAGTTGAACCTGTTCCTTCATGTTTTGATGGGGTGAGAATGGATTGATTATATCTGCTCATGCCACTACGAAACCCAAAATGTTCAGCTCCTACCCTAAATAACCACAAGTTTATACAAGAAGTAGGTATACTCAATACAAAGCATTGATTTTTTTTCTGAAAAACGACCCTTCAGAAGACGTAGAATCCAATTCTCACTCTCACCAGAGTGAAATTCTGTTGAAGCTGAACCTGCAGCTGTTAAATTCTGTGCTGGCAGAGTCTGCCTTGTCAGGAACAGCAAAGTCAGGCACTGCCTGCCTCTCACACAGCTTTCACAATCACCTGCAGAGGACACAACTCCTGCTGCACCTGGCACATTTGTGGGCTCTTGTTGGAAGTAACTTAGGGGAATCAGATGATACAGTTAACAAAAAGGGTCCCAAAATACAGCCTGAAGTTGCTGGAAAGAAGAAAGTCTTCTGTGCTGTGGTAGAAAATGGGAGAAAAATGAGTAATGAAGTGTGTGAAGAGCAGCTCTGAATAATGGACTGGGTCTGTAGTGACTGTGGTCTGGCTGCAACTGCAGATGAGGTAGAAGTTCTGCAGGGTGGATGTTGATAACATGAAGTTTTTCATTTATTCCTTAGGCACTTGGTTTTCAGGTGATCTCAAACCCAAATTCATTATTTAATACAGAGCTTGAGAAAATTGCCAGATTTTGAAGGCCGCTTTTTCAAATAAATTGAATGCTGAAAAGTAGCACAATACATGAGACTGATCTTCTAGAAGGCTTTCTGAACTGGAAAAAAATGGAAGAAAACCCAAATATTTAAAGTATTTGATTTTGCATAGACATACTTGTGACACAAATAAGTCCTGACATGTTTATATAAAATACTGCATATCATTCTAGAGATTTAAAAAAGCACATAGATTCATTGTTTATAGATCATAATGGTTGTATCTAAAGAAATTGGAATTTCATGGTGAATGATTAGTGTGATGTAAGGCTGGGAGCGCACACTTGTGTGCTTTGTCATCCTTTAAGGAAAAATGAGGCAGATTTTTCTCTAATTGCATCTAAAAGTTTTGAGAGAATTATCTATTTCAGAGACTGCATGAGGCAGAAACTTGTTATGAACAAATTAATTTCATATTTGTTATTGATTATCCTTTAAGAGACTCCACATACAGATGGAGACTAGTCAAAAGTTATTCATGAGGTTCCTGCTGCTGCTCAGTGCTGACTCTTAGCAGGAATTGCTTTGGATGGAAAATTGAAGCCTGGTAGAAATAATACTGTAAAAGGAAGAAGAATATTGCTTTGTAAGATGTAGCTTCAAGTTGTCAGGTTACATAAATCAGGAATATCCCATATTAAATAGTTTCTAAACTCTCTCTCCTGGGTGTTCTAGAAGACACTTTCTGTGAGAAATTGAAATGTGGACTTTTGATTAGGCCTTGTTGAGTATTTCGTGTGCAGGGAGCTGATCCCATTTTCTGCTTGTGCTGAGCCCTGTGATGTGGAGGCAGTAACTGGATGTGTCATTGGAGACAGGAATTCTGACATGTGTTAGACTGCAGCCCTGCAAGCAGAGCTTGAAGCAGACAGAAGCACAGCAGAGATCCCTGCACTGTTCCTGTCAATCCAGTTGTGGCAAGGCTTAGGTGTGGATAATATTCATTTCCTTGACTCTTGAACAGTGTTTCTTTAAAGCAGGTTTAGTTTGCAGAGATGTTTGTTAATGAAGGAACCATACATGGCTCCCCATGGCTGGCTTAAAGAGCAAGATCTGAGCACAGTGGAACTTCTTGGGGGACAGCAAGATCATGTTTAGTGAGGGGGTTATTTAATATCAATGTAGATACCTGATAACTGAAGGTAGCTTCATGTGAAGAGTATTCCTAATTCTGTTTGATCACAAGTTGTCTGTAAAATTAATATTCTGTTCACTTCTTGTTCCTCAGCTCCACATTCCCAGTTAAGCTCAAAGTTGGTGTAACACTAATTTGCCTGTAGAAATATTGATAAAGCCTCACTGTCTGTCTGGCAGTCAGATCCTTCCATCCATGTAGTCATGAAGTTTTCTGTCCCAGATGTTTGCAGATTTAGAATTAAAATTTTTAGCTGACAAGACAGAAAAATCTTCCTGTCTACTACTGAGTCTACTGAGTCTTCCTGTCTACACACTACTGGGTGTGTTTCATTTCTGCTTAACTCAAGAAAGTTTTTAAATTCTGTTAGTCATGCATGTGCATGATTAGGAATAAATTTCAACATAGGGTGGGTTTTGCCTGACAGCTCTTCTTTCTGGGACTACAAATCCTGAAAACATGAAGGTGGGTAGATGTTTGTTATGACATACCAAAATAACCAAGTTCTGGGTCTAAAAAAAGTCCTTTATTTTCACAGCAAATGTATTTGAAATTGGAAAATGTGAATAAAACTTGTCAGTCCAAGCTAGTGCTTTCTTAATTGACAGAATGTAGTGGCAAGTATTTTGCTGTGGTTGGATGAGGAAAGGCAAGGTGATAATACTTTTTTTGGTGACAATACTCTTACCAAACAGATCAGCTGATCTGTTTCAAGCAAACATGAACATCACTTGTGGTAAGTGAAAACTTGTCATTTCATGTCTGTGATGTATTTCTGCCTAGGACATATGTGGAAATACAGGTTAGTCTCTAGTTGGATCTTGTCATCCAAAAATTCAGTAGACAGAAGTTTGCTGATGCAAAACTGTGTCCTCAATGCTTTGTATTTCTGTTGTGGGTATTTCTATTTATACCATTATGTTAAATTTTTTTTGCAGGTTGGGAGATCTACAGAAAGTCCCATAGACTTTGTAGTAACAGACACTATTTCAGGAAATCAAAACAGTGATGAAACCCAGATTACCCAGAGCACCATCTCCCGATTCGCCTGCAGGATTGTTTGTGACAGGAACCCACCATACACAGCAAGGATCTTTGCAGCTGGCTTTGACTCATCTAAAAATATATTTCTTGGTGTAAGTACTGCTAATAATGATGTTACAAGCAAGCTCTGGTTTATATTCTGTTACTTTCAAGCCCCCAAATTTCCTTGTACTGGTTGATACCTTGTACTGTCATTAGACTTTTATTACTCCAAGGCACCAGCTGCAGTGTTAAGTAGAAACTGCATTTTATGTGCCTGAGTTATCACCAGCAGAAACTCGTGGTCATAATGGTCTTTAACAATGAAGCTGCACTTTAGTAAATGTTAGAGGATTTTCTTTAGGATGGTTTGATGTATTTCTGATAGTCACTGTGACTGTCACACGCAGGAAAAAGCAGCCAAGTGGAAAAACCCTGATGGCCACATGGATGGATTGACAACCAACGGGGTGCTGGTGATGCACCCCAAGGGAGGCTTCACGGAGGAGTCCAAGCCCGGGGTGTGGCGGGAGATCTCCGTCTGTGGGGACGTCTACACGCTCCGGGAGACCAGGTCTGCTCAGCACAGGGGCAAACTGGTAAGTGGAAGTTGTTGGGTTTTGGGTTTTTTTTTAATTTTTGTTTTTTTTGAGATTGGGAGTGAAGGTACTTGAGGCGATAGTTCACGTTCGGAATTGGGTGTTATTTTTCATCAGTGTTACAGTCTACAATTCTGTAGTTTTTTGTTAACAAGGCACAAAAATGGTTAACTATCTCTTATTACAAGGTCTTTTAAGGCTAAACTATCTAATTAATCTAAATTATTTTCACTTTTAACCCAATACCTAATCTCTCAAAGTCCGCAATGCAGACTTTTCTATCCAGCTATAAAATACCACTCAAACCCATGGAGAAGAAAAGGTAAAGAAGAACAACCTGCTTCTGCCCTAAAACTTCTATTGTACTTTGTATTTATTACTGTATTCTAAAACTCCAGACTCTTAAATTTTCCATGATATTACACACTTCTAACCAACTACACACCCATAATCTCAGTGCTATCAATAAATTTTGGAAGCCTGTTCCACGGCTTCAGGTCAAATGTAGTGCTCTCCTGGGAGTCCAGAGTCTGTCTGTACAGAAAGTCTAAAATTTTCAACATCCAGAACTCCAACAGGAAGTGACTGAAATTAGTCGAGGGGTACTGTGGATGTGACAGTGTGGTCAGAGAGACAGAAAGCTAGATCAGCTTTCCCATGAATCAGTCTGGGAAGTTGCAGGGAGGTGGAAACAAAGGATGATAATCAAATGGAAACAATCCACAGGTGCTGTTTTGTAACAAGCTGTTTTTCCCATAGGGTTGTTTACAAATGGATGTCTTCTTAATTAGCCAATGGTGAAGGTGTTTTGATTAAAGGACCAATCATGTCCACTTGTAGAGAACTAGAGTATAAAAAGGAATGGGTTCCTAATAAAGTTGTTATTAGCCTTCTGAAAATGCATGGAGTGTGTGTCACCCTTTATCCATGTCACTTCTGGCTCAACAGTGACAGGGCATTTGTTTCCTTGGCTTTGAATGGAGGCAGGTACAGGGTGGCTGGCCCTGAGCAGTGGCACTGTGAGAGTGTAAATCTGGGTGTTACAGCAGATTTTGCACTGCTGTTCTGTTCCTGAGTGTGTGGGAGAACACTCAGAACTTTCTGCTAATTCCACTTTTCCAACTGAAACAGCACAGAGTGTAAAAGCAAAATAAACTCTGCTCTGGAATCTCCATCTCTGGAGTGTTCTCCTGGGACATGGGGAGCTGTCTTTTGCAGTACTGCCAAAAGAGTCCACTTTTGTGCAAAAGCAGTTTGGGTAAGGCAGCTTCTGTTTGATTTATCTTACCACTGGGAAGATAAGAGGAGCCTGGAAGTATATTCCTGTTTTCTCCTGTGAGGCAGGATGAGCTTTGCTTTTCCCAGAAGTAAGAGATTTCAGCTGCCAGGGGCCTGTGACACGTAAAACCAGGAGAGAAATTCAGTGAACTGACTTTGCAACTCTCCATTGGCTTTGCAGAAAACTGACTGCAGGAAGAGTTAGGGGAATGGAGTTGGGCTGCTCTGCTTTCAGCAGACACCCTTCAGCACATATATTGCTTTGTCACACTGATGGTGGCAGGCAGATGTTGCCTGGGGACCTGGACAGATGATGTGGCAATTGCAGCCTTTGTGGTTAGCAAAACACCTTTTTAGTGCTGCTAAAGAGAGGCACGGCAAAACAAATGAGTCCCCCTCCCTGCATCCAAAATGAGTTGAATTCTCATTTAAATAAAATTGCATGGCACACTGGTATTGATGTGATCAGTATTCGTTGATTGGGTTCATAAAACCAAATGCAGGCTGTATAATGAACTGAACACGTTGCATATGAGGGAGCTTTTTGTTTTGCTGTTTGTGAAGAATTACCTGAAAAGAACATCAGATCAAGGCTTCTCTCATCTCTACTTGAACCATTACATTTTTTTCTGCTGGAATTACTTGGCACTGGTGGCCTCTTATCTGTAGTCTATTGTACCGCTGAGGTGTTTTGTGCAAGGATGATCCACAGTTAATCTGTGAATTTAAACTGGATTAAAATGTAAATGCTAAATTGGTTGTCATTTATAGTATTCTTAGGCAGATGTGATGATTTCATGTGACCTACTTAATGTATTTGTTTGTATCTGGCTGTTTGTTCTGCATTAGTGGTATTTTGTGCATGCTTTCTGTGCATGAAGTCAGGCAGTAGGTCTATTTTCTCTTTAACTTTATAAAGAGCCTTTTTAATATATATTCATCATTAATGAACTGATAGCAAAAGCATGGATTGCTTATATGTTTGTGACATTAAAATAAAGAATATTTCAGTGAAGTACAGCGTGTGTTTGGCATAATCCCTTGAAAATGTTTTAAGTACCTGCTTTTAATCAGAGAGAAGCCTTTAGGCAGTGCACACTGGGGCTGTGTTTGCTTGGAATACTTCATTAAATAAGAAGGCTAATGAGTGGGGTGGGTAATTGTTCATAAGCTGAGCCTGTGTGGCTTCAAATTTGTCACCTGAGAAATTGAACTGGTATTCTGTCTGCTGCAGTCTAAGCCATGCAGGTACCTGTGCTGCTGCTGAGGCACACTCTGGGAGCTCAGTGCTTGACCCTTGCCACCACCCCAGAACAAATGGCATCTGAGAGGCAGAACAGCTGGCCTGACCTGGGTAGCAGTTTTTAGACCAAAAACTACTTTTTTATATTACTGTGTGAGCAGCTTCTGTCAGCGTTGTATGGGCAAAGAATTCCAGGAGAGAATCTGCTAATGCAGCCCTCAGGGAATGGCACGTCTTTTCTTCAGTCTATCAGGACTTACTGAAATATGACAAAGGCACAGAGAATCAATATTGGAGGAAAAAATGCGTGCTCAGGGGCCCAAAGACTGTATAATAATTTATATAGCAACTGCAAATGCAAATCCCTTGTACAAGCACAGAATAAGAGAGCAGTGCTCATCATAATCCTAGATATAGGTTAGGAGGTGAGGTGGATTCAGGACAACAGTAAGACAAAATTAAGCAGGTTAATGCTGAGAAATGTGATGTGGTGCGTGGTTGTGTTTGAGGGTGCCAGGATGTGGGAAGAGAGGGGAATCTTTACAACATGTTTCAGAAGGCTTATATATTATATTATGGTACATATTATATTAAAATGCTATACTAAAAACTATACTAAAAGAATAGAGAGAAAAGGATCCATTGGAAGGCTAGAAAGGACAAGAGAAGAAAGATTACAAAAGCTCATGACTCTTAGAGAGTCTGAGCCAGCTGCATCTTTGATTGCTTATTAAGTAGAAAAAACTTACAGGAACCAATCACAGATGCACCTGTTGGTAAACAATGTCCGGACCACAGATAGTTATTGTTTATGTTTCTTTTCTGAGGCTTCTCAGCTAGAATAGGAGAAAAATCAAAGGATTTTTGATAAAACATCATGGCTACAGTGGTGTCTGTAAAAACTCCTCCCTTTGTGTGGTTCCACCAGGTAGAAAACGAGACCAACATCCTGCAGGACGGCTCCCTGATCGACCTGTGCGGGGCCACGCTGCTGTGGAGGACGGCGGACGGGCTGCTGCGCTCGCCGACGCAGAAACACATCGAGGCGCTGCGGCAGGAGATCAACGCCGCGCGGCCCCAGTGCCCCGTGGGCTTCAACACCCTGGCCTTCCCCAGCATGACCCGCAAGGACGTGGTGAAGAAGAAGGACGTGGAGGAGAAGCAGCCTTGGGCCTACCTCAGCTGCGGCCACGTGCACGGCTACCACAACTGGGGCCACCGCAGCGACACGGAAGCCAACGAGCGCGAGTGCCCCATGTGCAGAACCGTGGGCCCCTACGTGCCTCTGTGGCTGGGCTGCGAGGCCGGCTTCTACGTGGACGCCGGGCCCCCCACGCACGCTTTCACCCCCTGTGGGCACGTGTGCTCCGAGAAGACTGCCAAGTACTGGTCGCAGATCCCGCTGCCCCACGGGACTCACGCCTTCCACGCCGCCTGCCCCTTCTGCGCCACGCAGCTCTCGGGCGGCAACAACTGCGTCAAGCTCATCTTTCAGGGCCCCATCGACTGAGGAACCGCACGGCAATGACCACGATAATAAAAGTTGTCTTGAACGGTTTACTGTGAAGGTTTTTTGCCACTAACTCTAGATTTTACCCCTTTTTTTTATAATGTTGTTAATAACGGGGTGGGAGGGCGGGGATGGGGGAAGCGATGAGGAGATGGAGGGACTGTGGTGGATTTGGGATACATTGATACCTGGAACTTGACAGATATCAGTGGTGTTGCATGCTCGAAAGCAGCATATTCATGGAGTCTCCTTGGTCCAATTGTAGTATATTTGTAATCTTTTTATTAGTACCCTGGATCAGAAAAAGGTGTCTTAAATGATTTTTTTAAGCTAAGATTTTTTAATGGAAAGGTTTTTTCTTCTAAACTTTGACAAGCCTTTAAAACCTATTTTTCAAATCTAGAAGGAACATACAGAATGTAACTGTCTTTAATTTGCAATATAATTTAACTTGAATAGTTTCTCAAGGAGCAAATACAGAATGTGTGGACAACCACAGGTGAATGTTCACTAGAGATAATTGGATATGTAAGAGAAAAAATTAGCTGCCTAAAGTGTAGAGGATAAGAGCTATTAAAATATCTGTTATGGTATAACACAGCTGGCCAAAAAGGCATCAAAGATTACTTGAAACTGAGGAAATCCTGTTTGCATTGATTTCCTTTCAGTGTAGTAGATATCCACTGGCTATTAGGTATGGGAGATGGCTGATTATTTTCTGGGGTTTTTCTCCATTTAACCTGCATCCATTTCCATTTAACCATGGGGAAACCACTTTGCTCTTTCCCATACTTAGCTCTGGGTTTAAGCTGATGTTCTGTGTGTGTGTAGTCTGGCCTTTTTATTTCTGCTTTGCTTGCCCTCAGTGCTCCTTACCCAGGACCTTTGGGTGAGTGGAGGCCACAGATTCCCAAAATGGTTTGGGTTGTCAGGGACCTTAAAGCTCTTCAGTTTCCCTCCCTGCCATGCCAGGGACACCTTCCCCTGTCCCAGGTTGCTCCATCCTTGCCTTGGGCACTTCCAGGGATCCAGAGGCAGCCACAGCTTCCCTGGGCACCCTGGTGGAGTCCAGGCTTTGCTGCAGTGATGAAGGGGTGGTGCCACAGCACACATGAGGTTTAGGTACAGCTGGTACAGAATTTGTCTCCATAAACCTGAATTCAGGAAAGCACTTAGTCTGTCCTTAAATCTACGCCCACGGCTGGGACTGTTTAGATTCTCAAGAGCTTCAGTGCATTGAGGTTGTTTGCTGTTATGTTTTGAAATTAAAAAAAAAAAGGCAATTTAAAATAAGTTATTTTTTAAGCTCACTTTAAAGCATTTTCACTAGAAGGGAGAGCATCATTTCCAGTTCAGCTCAGCATTTTTGTTCACTTTTCAACTTGCTGCCATCTGTCACCTTTTCTTTTGCAGATTGAGTTGTGTTTGTATCTCTTTTTCCCCCCAAATGTTTGCAAATCAAACAACATTCAAATGTAATCAAATATATGCACCAGGGTGGTACATCTGAAGTGGATCACTTGAAATTCGTGACTTTTTAAGAGAGCTGATAAATGTTTACTATGGAAATAATTAAATCAGAATTTCATATGAGATGTACCCTGCCCACTGTTAGGCTCATTTCATGCAGAATGATAACTCTTTGATTTGTGTTTTTGGTTTTTTGTTTTTTTTTCTTTATGCTTTCTGTACTCTTGGTATCTGAGGTATCAATCTATCCAGGTTTAAAAAAAATTTGGGAGAAATCTATAACATCTCTAGATGAAATTGATCATTCAAGCTCAGTTCTGTTTAATCAACTATAGCTTTTTGCTATATTTGTGCCCTTTGTATAAATAAATAATTTATATGATTTTAATATATTCTGTATATATATACTTGAATTGGCCTGTTCATATTTTGGTTGTAAAATTGTTTTATAGTTAACCTTATAAACATTTTACATGTCCCTTGCCAATGGTGATGGGATGGATTTTGTCTGCTGCTGTTTTTAGTATAATTTTGCTGTATACATGTTCAGCATTTTAATAATTTGAAAGTAGCTTTTCTTTTCGTGCTTTTGCTGTTAAAAAAGTACAACTGCAGCATTTTTTTTTCTAAAACCCCCAAACTGTACAGTTTTTGTCCCACTCAGTGATTTGAAACAGGATAAACCTTGTTAACCTACAACTATATGCTTCTTCCTAGTGCCTTTTCAAAGAGATCCTCTTGTGATTCCATTTTCCAAGTCCTCACTCCCAGCCTTGTGGCTCATCTCCACGGAGAGCAGCAGCCCAGCCAGGCGGGGGAGAAATCCGGACACAGAGGTGCCTCTTGCTCAGCCCTGAGCCCCTGCAGGTTCCTCAGGTGCCGCAGTCATTCCTGGTTAGCAGATACCTCATCTGGGAGAGGCAGCCTGGCTGCCCCCTCCCTGCTGGACCCAGAGATGCTCCTGCTGAGAGCTGGGCTCAGGCCTGCAGCTCCCGCTGGCTGTGTGTGTGTGTGTGCAGCATTCCCAGCTCTGCTGGCAGCCCCAGGCTGGGCTCAGCAGGGTCTGCACGTGGGCTTGTCTCCTCTGAGCCCCCACAGACTGGAAACACCCAGGCAGCACCTCCCTCCCCCAGCTGCTGCACTCCTTCCCTTCACCGTGCAGTTTAATTGCTGCTTCAGGGCTTCATCTCCCTTCTGTTCCCTCTGGAAAGTGAATGTACGTCTTGGAAGAATCCTCCCTGGAAACTCAGCACACCATCAGGCTTGCTGTGTTTGGCTTGTGTGAAGCAGAACACTGGATGATGGTTTGTATCCAAGGGAAGTGTCTGTTTGAAACTGATTAACAAGATTTTTTTTTCCCTTTTGCTGTTGGCAGTTCTGTATAACACAAGGAAAACTCAGAATCCCAGAACGGGCAAGGCTGGAAGCGACCACAGGGGCTCATCTGGTCCCAGCTCTGCTCAAGAAGGGCCATCCTGGAGCACATGGCACAGGAACATCTCCAGTGAGGGAGGCTCCACACCCTCTCTGCTGTGTGTTGAGGGCTCAGTCACTGCACAGGGAAGTTCTTCCTCATGTTCAGGTGGAATTTGGGGGCATCAGTTCCTGCTTGTTCCTCTTGTCCCCAGAGCAGGGCCTGGTCCATCTTCTTGGCACCCCCTTCAGATGTTTATACACATTGATGAGGTCCCCTCTAGTGTCTCTTCTTGGGGCTGAACGTTCCCAGTCCTTCAGCCTTTCCTCCTGAGAGAGGCTCCACTCCCTCCATCCTCATGGGAGGATTTTCCCTCTGTTCCTGCCCCAGCACCTCCGTGTCCCTCCCGTCCTGAGGAGCCCAGAAGTGGGCACAGCACTCTGGGTGCGCCTCAGCAGGGCTGAGCAGAGGGGCAGGAGTCTTTTCTGGGAAGCAATGTCCCAAGGCTTTGTGAAATTCAGGGACTTTGCTGTTCAAATCCAGGGTCAGTCCTGCAGAGTTGGGTTTGCTGGGAAGGCAGAAGAGTTTGTAACATGATTTTCCTCAATCCCCGCTCTGGTGAAATGATGGAGCATTCAGCTCTTAGCCCTCACCTTCCCCCAGCTCCATAAGCACATCCTCTGCTCTGGTACCTCCGTAGGAAAAAGGAGTTTATGGATAAATAAAATTAGAGTCAGAATACTTGAGAACCACCCTCAGGTTTATTCATTATTTCAGTGTTATGGTGTTCCTTGCATCCCATTTCCAATGCTGGCAGTGTATCCCATAAGGATTTTTTTATCACCTGTTACTGGTGATTCTCTCTGAATGCCTCAAAAGCAGCTTTGACTGCGTAACTTAGAATTAAAAGTATTTTTCTAGTCTGATTTTTTTTAAAAAAGATATCTGTCAAATCCATGCACGCTGGAGCTGGAACCCTTCCCTTTTTCTTGGCAGCTTTCTGGGAGAGTGCTGGAGCCTAAAGAAAATGAGTGGTGAATGCTGTTCTTGCAGGGAATTGTGTCTAGTTGTACAGGATTGTTCACATGAGACTGTGTTTTATTCATTAATTTTTTTCAAATGTGGTCATTTTGTGCATCAAGCTACACTCATAGTACTGTACAGGCTGAGTAATTAAAGGGGAATCTTTTTTTCCATTGTGAGGGTGGGAATGGGGATCAGAAGAGAAGAAGAAGGCCATGATGGAACTGGTTCCAGTAGGGACAGATCCACCCTGAAGCAAAGGACCTGCTTGGAAATGTGACTGGAGCTGTTCCTGCTTTCAGACCTCATCCATGCCCTGCAGAGGATTCTCCTGAGTTTGTGGAAGGTCTGGGATGCTCTGGAAAGCCTGTGGCCTTCCCAGTGAGACAGTCCTTGGTGTTTTAGTGGCAGTCGCTGGAATTTGAGGGTTTGGCTTCACAGCCTGAGCGAGGAGTCAGAGATGCCGAGCGTGTCATAGTGAGAAACTGTGAACAGAACTTAATTATGTTTTAGTGCTTAATTCTATCTTAGGGCTGTGGTCACTCTCCCTTTAGTGCTCTTGCAGTAGTTGGTGGATTCCTCACCATTTTTCATTCTTCTGGAAGTGGAAGGAAATTTCTCCAAGACCATCATGTTTCTGTTCCTCCATCCCACATTCTTGACACTTTCCTGTGGTTGGAGAACCCTTGGTAGGGATGTGGCTGTGCTGAGGACTGACAGGCATTTAAATCCATTTTTAGCCTGCTAGGAAAACTGACCTGACTCTTCCTCCTAATTTCCTCAGTTTTTCACCCTCCTGTGAGTCCTTGGCTCCTTATTTTCAATTTATCCGTGCAGTTGCAGATACACAAATAAATACAGCTTGGAAGGAAAACACATCCCAGGGTTGCAGTGTCTTTTGACAGATTTTTCTCATTATTCTGGGTTTTCTGAGCACTGGTCACAGGTCTGCACACTTAGTGTTGTGAGGTGAAAGGACAAATGTAGAAGGTAAGGCTGGTTCTGGGGGTGGGGGGTGGAGAGGGGGTATTTTCTTGGATGGGGTCACAGTGGCTCTGTGAACTGTGTCCCACTGGGTGCAGTGGGCATGGATCTTGGAACAGCAGTGGAGTGACCCTGGACAGGCAGCAGAGACAGATCTTCACTGTCTGTGCTGCTCAGCGTTCATTTATTGGCAGCAGAACAAAAACAGGAGCTGCTTGGACACCCAAACACCAGAAAAAAACCCCAATGTCTGTCCAGATTCCCTCACTGGGGGAATATTTATGTTTTCCTGGTGGGCAAGCCAGTCTCCAAGTCACCTGAAATCCTTCCTGCTGCTGTCCTGGGGATTTAGGGATAGGAATGGCTCTTGGATCCACCATGGAGAGCCCTTGGAAGGCAGCACAGCTGTAGGAAAAGCCTCTCCCACAGCGAGCCCTGTGTGATGGAGGGTGATGTTTACCTTAAAAAGTGTGAGCAGCTGTTCAACTTCTGGGTATATTTGTAAAATTGGTCTTTTTATACGCTGTGTGAAATGGACTGGAATAATTTCTTTTGCTGTTGTACCTGTGGAAGTACAAGCCATTTTACAGGAAAAAAAAAAATTATAAAACAAATTAAAATATTATCTCAGTATTGTCACTGACTCCTTCAGTTTATTTTCCCTGCTGGTTGGTTGTCAGAGTTTGACTTTGATTTGCAAAAACCATGTAAACAACTTCAAAAATAAATGGTTTCTTTTACTCTTTTATCCCCTTTCTACTCAGCAAACAAAACCTGCAGCCCTTGATTGAGGATTCTTAAATATTGCAGGTAGTGGAGCGTATTCAGGTGTGAGTGCCCTGGAATTTCAGTTAATTCCCTTCCCTGATTTTTAAATTGAACTGTTTGTTTTCAGTGCCAGCTGCCTCCTTGCAGTGTTAACGTAATTGCTAAATAAAAGCAATTTCCAGGAATAATATGCTTTGTGGCTCTTAAAATTAATTTCCATAATGGGAATTCAGTGGTTTGTTTTCCAGCTGTGTATTCTGGATCCCTTTTTGCAGGTGGCCCCTGTGAGTACAGGAGCTTCGTTTTTTTAAAGGAGCTAAAATGAATTGTCAGCTTTTTTTGGAACTTGGAAAAATAAGTGTTGGTGTGAGCACAGGGAAGGGAAATAAGGATAGCTGGAGTGTTTTCTAGATGTGGTCACCCGCCAGCTGGCTCTTGTGCTTCCAGGGAAGTCAAGAGTGCTAATTCCTTTCCAGGGAATGCTCCTGGGTGAGGGGGAAGCTTTGGGATGCCTGGGTGTGACTGTGCTCACCTCCCAGCAGAGCAGTGAACCCTTTTTCCTGTGGGATTGCTCTGTCCAGCTTCACTCCAGGACACTGAAAATGCCCTCATGAGGGCAGGGCTGTGGTCCTGGGGGATTCCTGGCAGGAATTCTGTGTTGGAGAGAGGCAGTGCACAGGGGGCAGAGACAGGCCCTGCTGGTTTAAAGCAGTTCAAGGCTGGGCGTTGGAGTGAGAGGATCTTTGAGGTCCTTTCCAACCCAAACCATCCCAGGATTCCAAGGCAGCCTTGGAGCTGTTCTGGGAACCTGGGCGAGGGAGAAGTTTCTGCTGCTCCTCAGAGGAGGGGAAGAGCCTCAAGGCAGGAGAAAAGGCTGAGAGGGAGGGACAAGGAGAGTTCAGAGCTGAGCTGCGGGGGAGAGGGCTTAGGGAACCA